AAATGATGGTAAGTATATGATTTTATAAAATACCATTACATGCCGATAACTTCATAAAATAGTGAACAAAACAGACTTCAAATAAAAGTTGGACCTTGAATGAATGAATCTAAATGTTTGAGAGAAAAAACGACCAACGTTTCGAAATGATATTACGAATTCATGGTATAAATTCACCTGCATCAACCCCGTCGTTCATGACAACATAACTTTTCATATACATTGATATTTAAGCAGAAAGTCAACACGAATGATTGAACTTGTTTATGAGCCTTTGATTTTGACATTTTTTTTGTATTTCCAGTCACCACATCAGTTTATATGTTTTTTTATTATAGTTGTGCAATATTCTGCTATAATTTCTCTTCTTATTCAGAACCACGAGTCTATTTCGACAAAACGAGGTACATGGTGGATGAAAATACTGATATTTGTCAAGTTACTGTGAAAAGAGCTGGCAGTGATCTCACTAGACCTTCCTCGGTAATAATCAGGTCAAAGAAAACAAATCCAGTATCTGCAAAAGGTACAAGATATAGAGTTTAAATACTATACGCTTTATAATGCATAATACTCACCTTGTGATCGATGTGTTTTAACCGCTTGATGCATGTGAACACGCGCCACTGACTTCACAAAGTGCTCAATTTACTTTGAGCTACATTTACAAATGGGTTGCAAGATCCAGAAAAATTGCCTCGTGTAACATGCCTTTGCTCTCAACCGCTCTTGCAAGGCCCACAATTTTTTATGTTTCACACAATTTTGTATCTTTCAAAATATTTTCAATTCTTGTTTTTCCATAGGCGGCCCATTTATAAATGTTGTTAATTTACATAAATACTGCAGTAAAAATTGTTAAAGAAAGTCAGAACATCTCAAATTAGTGAACTGTGTAGCTTATTGAAGACAGGATTAAAGATAATCACTTCGTGCGACTCATTGCATGGACAGCGATATGACGTATATAAATAGTATCCTTAAAATAGGATATTATTAAAATAGGATAAGTGTAAAATAAGATATTATTTATATGCGTCATATCACTGTCCGTGCAATGAGTTCGTTCATTTGAGTATTAGCAGTATATAGTATATAGCAGTATTTATGTAAATTAACAACATTTAATGGCCGCCTATGGTTTTTAAGGCAAATATGCAGCATCTTGCTCAGAAAATACATTTTCAAGAATTTTCTCGTCCGGCAAGCCAGTGTACAGCATAGGACATGCTTCATAAAAACTCAAAAGCTGTTGGAGATTTCGCTAAAATACAATCTTTTATATCGGCAAACATTTTGGGAAAAGGCATTCAACAACAGACTGAAAACGTTTATAACCCAAATTTTGAGATGAAATAAAGAAAGTATTCTAATCACCAATTAAAACACATTTATCATGCAAAGGTCCTATTATAATTTTAATAGACCTTATGCATAATGACGCACAAGGCTTGATGCCCGCGAGGAATGCTGGTCTTAATAGTCATCGCCCGGGAAAATTTCGATGGTGGCCATTTTGAATTGTTTAATTTTCCCGGCGATGACTACTAAGACCAGCATTCCTCGCGGGCATCAAGCCTTGTGACGTCATTATGCATAAGGTCTATTGAACTGTACAAATAGTACAATCTTCGTGCTATTGGTAATGTTGGCTGATGTTGGCAGACGTTGGGTCAGATTTGACTTTGTTCAAAATTTTCATCCAACATTTCCCAACATTGATGAACAGGCACTATATATATATATATATCTAATAAATATAAAATTGTATTCCAGCTAACATGGACTACATTCCTGTATCGAAGACTTTATATTTCTCCCCTGGTGTTCGGACACAGACCGTAAACATCGTCATATTGGACGATCTTGGCCAGCCAGTTCGTGAAGGTCCTGAGTACTTTGAGTTAGCTTTAGCTCTGCCTATCAACGCCCGTGTTGCTGTGCCCGAGAGAACTTTTGTTGTCATTAATGATACTCATTCAGATTGTAAGTATTAACATTCTGTTAAAGTTCTGACAATTACTGAAATCTTATTGTATTTGAGGCTTGAGAGAAGAACATGCACAAAATTCTCATTTCTGATTGGCTGATGGCTAACATAATCTCATTGCAAAACAGTTCAAAAATTGTAATTCAGTGCCACTTTCCCAAATTTATTTTGTGGAAAGATTTTCTTATTAAAATCTTCAGTCATGTTTACATTATTTTTCTAATACACAGACCTACATGGTATTACCAAAATGTTATTTCATGAATACTTGTGCAGGTTGAAAAAAGCCGCGCTCGTTCGTTTTCCACGACTTCACTCGTGCACTTTTTCCCAATTGCAGTGTAAAGCATGAACCTACTGTACCTGTACTCATTGTAGAGCCCATCATGCCTGATCATGCGATTTGGATATTTGCAGTGCGTACCAAGGCGTATCCGTACAATCCATTACCTCTTATGACTAAACTATGGCCACCTACAGTGCATACAGTACATGCAGAATAACTATAACTCACTCTAAAATTTTGTATTTTCCCAGTACCCAGAATTCAATTCAAAGTTCCACTCTATACTATCGATGAAGAAGATGGAATGCTATCTGCAATACTTGTGCGCAGCGGTGACTTAAGTCAACGGTCAGCTGTGCGATGCTATACACGGCAAATGACTGCAAAAGCTGGTGTGGATTATTACGAAAGGTCAAACAGTGACGATGATATTGTGACATTCGAAGCTGGTGAGAGAACCCAGGAATGTCGAGTTGCCATTGTTGATGATTCACTTTATGAAGGAAATGAGGAATTTCGCTTGGTGCTTGGACAACCTGAACTTCAACATAGTGTGGGTAAAAGTTTGATTGGAAAGAGATCCCGGACTACCATCAGAATCGCCGACAATAATGACCGTATGTTTAACAACTATTATTTTTATCTTTCCTGGGTGGTTGTAGTCTCCCTATAGGGAAATGAGTAATGACTGCTAACAACACGAGCCAGTCTGCAACCATTAATTCCAATAGACTATTTACACGAGCTGATGTTCGATTCCTGCCAGGGGGCCTATACTGTAGTTGCACTTTCCGCAACTGCTTCAGGTTAGGTCTGATAAATGTATAAAAATTCGCACTACAAAACCCACCTACGATTAGTTAAATCGAGTGTATATAGATGCCCAAAAATCCTGGGGCCGGTTGCATAAAAACGTAGTTACCGCTATAACTGCAGTTAAAAAGTAGTGAAAAAGTAGTTAACTTTAATCACGTTTCGACTAAACTATAGTCATCATCAGGAAATGAATGATGATGATATTACATATGTACAAGTATATATAGTATATATACCCGTATTAAAGAGAATTCTTCTCTTGACTCTTCTGAAATATATAACCATATTACTAGCTGTAATGAATTCAATTTTGTAATAAACCTACTCGAACTAACACCTAATGACGAAGTTAATAACATTAAATGTTCAATAACAGATTTAATATTTACTAACACTAAGATAATAATTAAATCCAATCACTGGTCGTTGATACTTTATCAAGAGTCTATTGCTATTAATAGAATGAAACCGTCCCTAAACCATGGAACTAAAGCCTCTAAAGATCTATTAGTATTTAACTAATCGTATCTTGTTACTTCACTACAGTATATATACTTGTACATATGTAATATCATCATCATTCATTTCCTGATGATGACTATAGTTTAGTCGAAACGTCGAAATAAATTTTTCAAAATGCTTTCAATTTTCGGAGTATCTATTGTTTTGTATTTTATCAAAATACTCGAGTAGTGGCTCCCGTAATTTAATCACGTAGTTAAGCCGGTTGTATAAAAGTGTAGTTAACCTTAACTGCAGTTAAAAAGTAGTTAAAAATAAAAGTAGTTAAACTATCCAAAACGTAGTTAAAAATGGCGTTTGTATAGGAGTGAACAACATTTTCAGTAACCTCGTCCAGTTAACTCAACGAATACATAAATAACAGCTTCTACTGGGGACTAATATCTGCCGGACATATTAATGTTACTGAAAACAAAATTCGTTAGTTGGTAATGTGTTTCTAAGAAATAAATTGTTCACAAAAAATATATTTCACCAGGGTCTGGAATTGGATTCGAGCAGAAAAGACATTTTGTTAATGAACCATCTGATGAAGACGAGGGAAGCTTTGTGAAATTGGTCGTGGTACGAAATGGTGACACGTCAAGGACCTCGCAAGTCCGCTTATACACAAAAGATGGTTCTGCTAAAGCCGACATGGATTTTGCACCTCTGAGTAAAGTGAGTAGATTATTTCACCAATAGAAAAGATACTGTATTTGAAATGTTTACTGCGACAGGTTCGACTTGAGTACTGGGCTTTCGATTTACCTAATGTTAGGACATCCTCTATCAGTCAGAATCGGTGCATACCAACATCCCTGTCTCTCGCCCAAAAGGAAGCAAATTAGAGGCCTGTCATCTGTGAGAGATTAGGTTTATCGCGCGCAGGAGTTGTTGGGTGCAAGTATAAGATTTTTATGTAAAGTTTAGATTAAGCTGTGTCAGGAAGATCCAGACAAGCCAGTTTAATATCGTCAAATGCCAGACGATTTCACTTATCAAGTTGAGAACTCTATCTCTCTCCCGTAGAAATGGATGAATCAGGTGAATAAAAAATGCTTCACCCTTTTATAGCTTTCTTGCGTTTTGATAGTACTTTAGTACTTTTTAAAATTCTGATTTGTTCTTCCTTTCATTACGTTTGCATATTTCATTTAAGGTTTTAACCTTCGGTAAAAATGTTACGCGACTTCAAGTGAAGATAAAGATCCTGCACGACGAAAAGCGTGAAATGAGAGAAGCATTTACAGTACATCTTACCAAAGATCGCAATCGTGTTGCTTTGATTGAGAGTGATAAAGTGATCGTGTATATTCAAGAGAACTTGTACAGGACTGGCGTGACGTTTCCACTTACTCCAACAGTTGTATCGTTAAAAGATTATGATGATATAAGCAAAGCAAAAGCTGAACCTATACAGGGGTACCCATTGATTTGTGTAACGGTTAGTATAACCTATAACATTTTGTCCAATTAAAGTACCGAAAATTTGGGCCTTATTTTAAAATAAAGCCTTATTTTGAAAACTGTAGCACTTTTGTGGCACTTTGATGTAACTGTTGGTTTATTTTGAATAGTGTGGACTAAATAATTCGTGGTTTAGAATGCCGGTGGCACAATAAGCCAGTTCGGAGTTGCGACTGTATCCAAAGTTCCCAATTTAATAACAAATTGTAGCTATATATGTAGTCGAACTGCAATGTAAAGTGATAAAGAAAGAGTAAGGGCAAAGAGAAAAAACTCTCTGCGTTGATTAGGTGTGCTTCAGGAAATATACCTTCAAAAATGACAGAAGTCTGGCTAGGGCTCGCTGTGCAACTAACGCTAAACCACATCATGCTGTATGTTTAACCCTTGTATCTCTTTAAGAAGGTCCATGACCCTACATTTTTATGAGAAAATATATCAGAAAATAAGAGAAAAATCATTTCTACAACTTATAATATTTTACATTTTTCGCGCATGCTTCCCAAAATAACGTGTCTGAGAAGATGGGAAAAGACATCTTTGCACCACGACAATGCACGTCAATGGTTTTTGATTCACTAAAATACCATGTTTTCTTCTATATAATCACTAGATAGACATTTATAGTAGGATCCTTGTTACAAAAATTGAATAGGGTCAAGATGGTGCCATATGGGGGGAAAGGTGGCATATTGCATTTGTTATATCTTCAAAACGAGTTCGGTGACACCAACTTTTTTCTGTTTTTACTATGAGCATATAATAAACGTCATAAACGTCAGCAAATTCTCGTTTCCAGAACAATTACTGATGAATCACCAAAACTGATTTTAATGACAGTTTTTCATTTTTTGTAAAAGCAAGCGGTTTCTGGACGTTCGACTCGCTTGAAATTTAAGTAATAAAAATATTCCCCCAAAATACAAAATTTGCTAAATAACTTGGACATATTCTTTTTACTTCATCAGTGTGCATAAACAGGTCTGTATGTGGAAAGTGTTTTGAAGAACTAACCATTTTTTTAATTTTAGGCCTGTGATCCTAAGCATCCGCGATATCCCGAAACAGGCTCACTGTGCAGCAGACAATCTATTGACAACACTAAGACGTGGTACAGCTGGGAAGTAGCAGCCGCCACAGGACCTGACGCAGTGACAAACGATTTTAGATCAATCGACTCTCAGACATTCTTTGCCAGTACCTCTATGATAACCCTGGATAGTATATACTTCGGTCCAGGTAGTCGTGTGCGCTGTACTTCTCGAGCTATTACCTACCAGAATTATAAAGGTTTAGGCTCGACAAGTGATCCAGTCACAATAAGTCGTAAAGAAGGTTTGTGTTTACCACAACAAATGGGAGACATTGGCTCTGAATCATTTTCTGCCCAAATCACTTACACAGGATTGGAAAGCACTACCCATCCTAATATGATCCGCATTCGTATCCTAGTGCCCCATATTGATGGCATGCTTCCTGCTTTATCCACAAAGTCACTATCGAACTTTGAGATTACATTAACCGCTGACGCCTCGCGCCGTGGACAGCACCTTTGTTCCAATCTACTGGATACACACGAAGTTCAAACGAAAAGTGGATTTTTAACCGACCACGTGACTCGTATGTCCGGAGGTACAGAGCCGTACCAGTATAGCAGTGAGCTACGAGGCAAGTCAACGTTGCGGTTTTACCACAATCTAAATCTAGAGTCGTGTATGTGGACATTTGAAAATTATTACACAATGTCTGAACTGGTTCAAGAATGTGGTGGTAAGATAGCAACTGATGGTCAAGTACATGATCTTACACGTTCACATTTGTCTGTACGTGTCCCGTTGTATGTTTCGTATATCTACCATTCTCCCAGCGCTCTTGGCGGCTGGATGCATTTTGATCACTCCTCCTATCTAAAGATGTCATTTACCTATGATACGGCGGTATTATGGAAGGACGGGATTGGTACACCTGAGGGGTCTGTACTGAAAGGTTACCTGTATCCCACTGGGGTTGTTATTCGTCCGCAGGACAAACGACTGGTGGTGACGTTTAGAACAGTCGCAAGGTTTAGAGGAACTTTCATTCTTGCACGTGAAGGTATGTAAATTTCGCATTGTCGTTAATAATAGACAGTTCGTTTTATTTTTACTACAGTATATCGTGGAAAATAAGAAGGAAAAAAACAAGATTAGAAATTCAATTGGAGAACAATACAACTCATTATCTATGTTGGTCTAGTTTTATACCATGTTTGGTGCTGTTTAACTAAAGTATATATAGATAAAGTACAATACCCACGTGACAGGGTAGGATCATATTTTTGTATAAACCTACAGAGTTGTATTGTACTTTTATCACCATTTGGAAATGTGTATTTAGTAAATATGGCAAACGAAAAATGTTATTAACGTTTCAGATCAAAATATATTGTCAATGGTCATGTCACCTGATCAACCAAACCTCAGCTTTCAGTTGAAGTTACTTCGCAGTGCTCCAACGTACAATTCTCCTGAACAGATGTGGCAGTTTGTGTCAGAGTTCTCAGTTCGTGACTACAGTGGAACGTATTATGTTAAACTCATCCCTTGCACTGTTACTCAGGTAAAATAAAAAAAATTGTCTGTTTTTTCTTCTCAGTTTACATATGCTCTCCCATTATTGAGTTTTTTTTGCGACAACTTGTATTGCAATACCCATGCTTAAATCTTCTTAAAGATAATGCCCCTTTTAAGTACCAGTTGGTAGGAGGAAAAACGAAGGGAGTTGAACTAGTAACAATAGAAATCCAGCTTTCCCTTTAAGAAACAGTTTGGGGCAGAAATTCATATACATATACGTACAAAAGAGATATTCAGTAATTTTAAACTGAAAATGGATTTTTATTTCACGAAGGGATTTTGTAGATGAAAAATTCGGGTAATTTTTATACATTTATTAGACCTAACCAGGAGCAGTTGCGAAAAATGCAACTATCGGTCCTCTGGCAGAATCGAACCTCCCTGCGATTCCGGTGCAGCGCTCTGACCAACTGAGCTACAGAGAGACAGTTGTCGAGCTCTAACTACAAATTCAGGTATAAATACTAAGGTGATGCCAATGTACGGTGTATGGGTAAATATCAGGATATTTATTTGACGATACTCCAAGTTCTCTTCCATTTTTAATAGGTTATTAAATGTTTACATCTGTAATAGTTTCGATATTCGTGTAACTGGTTATTTTAACTCTAGTTTCACTGAAGAATATAGACTCCAGTCTTGCTGCTCTTCACCTGTCCGACTAGGAGCCCTCGTTTCTTCCAATTTTTGTCACTTTTTATTTGCTTTTCATAACATGCTATACGAGTTCATTTTTCCGTATTGTTTCTTTTGCAGAACGTAAAATATTCTGTTCCACTGAAATGCAATCCAAGAATGCCCATCACTTTCACACTGCCGATCAGATTTCAGCAGACAAGTGACCCGGATGCTGTAGAATTTAATATTCGTACCCAGTTCTTCCTCCTTGCTCGGCGAGACGTGTGGTTGTCGAATGAAACAAACAAAGTGATGGAACAATCGGACGCTGCGTTTTCTTTGGGTATACTGAAACTTTATATTCTTTTTTACATGAGGCCATTTGTACAAAGGCCGAATATCCGATAGCGTTATCTACCATGCAGATAGTGTTCTTTTTAAAGTTTTCAAAAATTGGCCGTTTATTGGCGTGATCCAAAGTCCGCGTTGACGTTTAGTATTTATAAATTAATGTTTTTATGGATTAAGAAAAATCACCAACCGATGGATGTGACAATTGGCCTTTGTGCAAAGGCCAATTCAAAGTACAAAGGATTTCAAAGATCAATTCGTTTTTTAAACCTAGCAGGTTGCTGGGAAATGAGTTTTTAACCAATACGACTGAATTTGACTAATAATATAAAACGCGATTTTGTGGTGTTTTTCGTTTTTGTTTCGCGATTTTCTACATGTATTCATGTTTGTAAAAGCCGACAAACTATGTCTACGGCGCCCTGAATTTGGCCTTTCAACAAGTAGGCCAGTTATTTCTTTTTTTCCACGTTTATTTCCGTTTCCTAGGATACGGGACCCCGATTGCGAATGATGAATAAGGTCTATTAAAATTATTTTGATCACTAGCTGCCATACTATAAGTTCAGACCATCTTGTTTCTTTAGGTTCAATTATCTACGGTCGTATAATGGTGGATCCTCAACAAAGTCTAGGAAGTGCTTACCATGTTTCAGTTGAGAAGATATTTGTATGTAGCGGACTTGACGGTTACATTCCTCAGTATAGCCCCGATAATGAGGAATATGGATGCCTAGCTGACTCAAAATTACTGAGTTATCGCTTTAAAATTTTGGTAAGTTTATTTTAAATTTTGGTAAGTTTAAACTCCTGCTCGTGTAAATGCTTAGATAACTTGCTTTGTCCAGCATTTCCATTCTCGACGGGGTTTTTTCTTTCACCCTTTTTACCGTTTTCAAAACTTTTAACTTCAATTTCCTTTGTATTTTTGTTTTCTCTTGACTGTCTCTTCTTCTCGCTGGCTCTCTTACAACAAGGGTTCGTACGATCCAATGAAAACCATAAATATTTCTTGTTTGGACTTTCATACTATTTAAAATTTAGTTGAGTTCAGCAATATTGAATATATTTCAAACATATAAACATAAAACATTCGCTGCGTAGCAGTTTACTTCCATCTTTTTATCATAAGTCGTCTTTCTATCTTAGGGACAATTTGTTTGATTTGAGAAATTTTCTGCATATTCTGAAATTTTCTCCTTATAATTATTTTGTTTGTGTGGAAATACCACGAATATTTATTGAACAAATAAATATGCGTGGTGTTTCGAAAAACAAGTGAATATCTGGGAATAAAACCGAATATCTCTGGTTTAACTTACCCTTTAAGTGAAATTAAATTAACCTTTCTCATGCCGCCATTTTTGGGTGGCAACCTTTTTAGAACAGGGATAGTAAGTAGTGAAAATGAAACTTTCTATAACTATAGTTGTAAGTATATAATCATTATAAATCGATATACAGTTAAATATTTGAAAAATTATTTTCACATCACTTAGATTTGTCACGTTGTTTATAAAATAAGTACCCAAAAATGGCGGATTTAGACCTTCATGAGAAAGGCTAATTCACTATACCCCATGCAATTAAAGAAACTGCTCATGTGTAATTATATGATGTATCCAAGCATTCATAATCAGAGGTAACCATTTGTTCTGAATCATATAGGATCGTGGAGCTCCACATATGATCACACGAAAGTTTCGTAACGTCCCATTTGCGGCCACATTGGCCATTGATGACGAAAACGCTCATGTTTTGGTGGAACAATCAAACTCAGACGGTTTCAGATTTGACAGTTCTCCGTTGTTTCAGGTAATTTTATGTTAGAGAAATCGTACGTGTACGTCTGGACGAAATTGGGCGGCGCATTTCATCTGCCCAATTCACATCTACTGTAGGACACCATCGATATGTACAATTCTATAAACCTTTGAAAAATGATCACATCAGCAACTCCATCTAAAAGAGAGAAAATATACTGGTTTTTATAAAATATACTCAACAGTTTTCGCTTGAAACGTCGACAGATGTTTTCTTTTTTACATCAAGTGGCTGACGTGATCATTTATGGAAATATTTATATTGTACATCACGGCTGACGCACAATTAAATATGACGCACAAAAACATTTTTATCCATTAACTCAGGTTGCTAGCGGTCGTCAGTGGTATCTGCATGCCATCTATACAATCCGATCATTCAGGAGTTCCACTCGAGGCATTGGTAAACGAAGCACTGTGATTGGTGAATCCTCTCACATGGTGCATTCCTTATCAAAACGATCCGCTACGAAATCTGCTAAGGATTCACCACAAGGAGCCGCTTTGGTACGTTCCATTAAATTAGTGTACAATGACGACATAACTGACAACGGTCCAGGAGGGATTCGTAGGGATGCGAGTGATGATGGAAGCAGTTCGTTATCTATGAAATGGGTTCTAATTGTAGTTATTACCGTTTGTTTCATCTTATTGGTTGCTGTTATAGTCCTGATGATGTTGTATAGACGTAAATCTCGACCGGTTACTACAAAGGTCGTCGAGCCGGGTGAGCAAATGCAGGGAACTGAGGTCTAGTTTTGCATAGAGGCAACTACAATAGAGTCTCTTTAAATGAAGCAGAGTACATTCACTCATCACGTGACAGGCTGTTGTCCGTCATCCCAAATAACTGCTCGTGGAAAGCGTGATAATTATCAAAGCCTACAGCTTGTTCATTAGTTTATCGAAGACAATCGAATTATATAGAAAATATGTAAAAAGTATTTAACCCTTGCGAGTTTTTCGAGTACAGTTTTGAACATAGTATTGAAGAAGGGTGACGGACCTGCTGCAAACAGAGGACATCTATTTTTATCAGATGTATGGACTGGTTCTACGAAGCCCGTTTAGATTGAATGGTAGATTACGTAGCTGAACTAAAATCAAAGAACAGTCTCGCGCATCTAAATTGAAAACGTTCTATGAACTATAGACCTGATGAACTACATTTCATATAGTTAATGTATTCTATATATGGTTTGGAGACTCGATGGAATTCTTTATCTATTTTAGTCTAGGTTTATGTATAAATGTGCTCCTTGTTCGTCAGGTGCGTATTGTATTGTTGACAAATCAACCAGTAGCAATCTTCAAACTAACCAGTTGTTCGAGTCATGGGCAGATATAAAATGAACAAGAACCACATTGCATAAACCAAGACAAAAACATAGATAACGAGTTATTGTACTTCCATCCAGTCTGTAAATCGTATATTGCATTAATTATGTTTATTTCAGTCTCAATTTTTCTTCTCAATTTGATCCGGTTTAACTAAACGGACTTCGTACTGTACCAACGATCCAATATCATGATGATAATAATAAACCAGTTTGTAGTTTTTACTGTGCATCCAGCTGACTCGTTCTGAGTCAAGATAAAATTGCAGTTGAATCTTAGCATGTAGCTGAAATATTTAAAATACGTATATCAAAGTATTGCTTGTTTAATCGACGCATGCAAAAACTGCTTGCAAAAACTGCTTGTTTTCTAGAGAGATTTTTATTTCAACTAAGTTGGATGCCCAATTTGGAACTGGCTTATTGTACGATTATACAGTTGATTTTGTTCTCTCATGTATGTCTTGCGTCCATTTCAAAAAATTGTTTTTCGTAAGGAATTCGAGACATTTTTCATGGCAATTCATAATTTTGTCAATGACAAAGACGAAATGACCATATCTCGATTGACTTTATATTTCGCGACTTTCATGATTCAAGGATTGTATCCTATTGGATATATTTACTGTCGATTGTTAACTCAATTGACTATTTATATGAAAATGCATATATTATATAACTGATGTAAAGAGAAGCTAGTGTCGTTTTGTTTGTGAAATTAGTGAGAAGCGTAATTTTTAAGTAATTGTTTACGTGTAGATGAGTCTGTATGATGTAGTCTTGTGTACGTGTACGTGTAGATGACGTTGACTGCTAACCGGACATAGTACTACAGCGTGGTACCCTAGAGCATGCGCAAAACATTTTCAAGTGCACCACATGCGCGCAGACATCTATTTCTGAAAAAATACCAAGGCTTATGATTCCGAACAAACTAACAGACCACCCAAAAATAACAGACTAACAAACTAACAGTCTAGCAAACTCATGTTGCATGGAAATATTAAGCAACGCCTATAACTTTGTTTCGGCACCGCAATAGACTTGAGTTTTGGCGCGTAAAGATACGCGTTTGTCTCGATCATTTTTGTTTTCTCTTTGATATTTTTAATTACATTATCTCAAGCTCTACAAATTATTTGTTTTTAATTCTGATCCTAAATGTGTTTTGAGAGGTTTTTCCTTTCAAGTGCAACTATGGCTCTAATGTTTTCAATTTTTCGATTGGGACTATTCTACAATGAAGTATACTCTTGGATACTGTAATCTAAATACATATGAAGACGAATAAGTTGGCATTTATCGGGCAGGGAAGCGGCGAGGCATTGAAATGGCGACATATTTGACGAAATATCGAAGGACACAATATCGAAGACAAAATACACTGCACTGTTTCAAAACTTGACGAAATTTGGTTGAAATCTTGTTTAGCCATTTATCATTATGTAAAAGTACAGCAACTGGATGATATTTGCGAGACTCGGCGATAAAAAGCAAACAAGACGGCAAGACCCCTTGGGGGTAAGTGAAATAAAATTTATTATATTTGTAGAAAACAATGACATCCTTATGAAGTCTACTATAATTATTAAGTATAGCTTTTCATCCCATGATAATTTTTTTAGGAAACTCAGAAAGGCTTTAGCTTTTCGGAAGTTTAATAGAGCTATGCTAGCACTGCCGTTTCAGGGCGCCGGCATGGTGGAAAAGGCGGAGGTCGGAGCGCAGAGTCGGTCATGAAAAAATTGTTTATTTTGCCAAAATATTCGGTTTTAACGAGACTCCTCGTTTTCCACTTTAAAATCGAATATTTAGGCAAAATAAACAATTTTTTGACAGACTGGAAAACGCGGAGTCTCGTTAAAATCGAATCTATGCAAAATAAACAATTTTTTGACCGACTCCGTAGTGCCATCTTTTCTACCATGCCTTTCAGGGCGGGGTCATTTTCAGGACATTATAGTTGCCGTGTTATTACACATAGCACGGCAACTATAGGACGTAAACAAAAATAGTCTAGGACCTGTATAGGAGTTTGTATGCGTTTCATTTAGCAGATAATCTCAACTATTTTAAGGTAAAATGACCACGGCGGGCAATATGGCGGCATATGTGCCAAAACCTGAATTCGGAATTCAGGTTTTGGCACATATGCCGCCATATTGACCGCCGTGGTCATTTTACCTTAAAATAGTAGAGGTTATCTGCTAAATGAAACGCATACAAACTCCTATACAGGTCCTAGACTATTTTTGTTTACGTCCTATAGTTGCCGTGCTATGTGTAATAACACGGCAACTAGTACTATAACGTCTTTAGATGAATAAGTTGGCAAATAGTTCATTAGTACATTACTCCATTTATTATTCGTGAACAAACAACAAAGATTTAATTTCACATACATTATCGAGTCAAAACACCCATAAATTCTGGGTGTCATGTGACCAGCGATCCCAGGGTCAGCCGTGGAGGCAAAATGCCCTGGGGACGAGCTTGCGGCGTAGCCAGTGTGTATATATGTAGTCTCAGGGGTTGTTTATATGGTCCCGCTTACCTGGGATTCAATGAAGTGTGACGTATTTTGAGCAATTGAAATACGTGTTTCAACCCTAAACAAAAGTTAGATAACTTTAAATATTGTTTAAATGAAATTAGGAACGCGCTAGAAGTTATGTAGTGGAAGAAGACGATTAATAACTCAAATAACAACATTTGTTTTTTGCCTAAAACATGGAATTTCATACAATTTGTAACAAGTAATTTCGTTAGATCATGAACTGCGACTGTTTCAATTGCTCAAAATACGTCTCACTTCATTGGATCCCGGGTAAGCTACAGTCTGGGACTGCACGCAGGCTTGAGGGTAAGCGGGACCATGCATATAAACAATTCCTCGGACTTTGATAATGTTACAACAAATGCATGCAACTGGAACATTGTTAATTAATGTTAACATTTTATATTTTAAGGTTAATTATGTACCAGTCTGATATTAATTGATCAGTTTAAAACTGGTTTACATCTTAATTCTTTATTAAACGTTCCTGGTAAATAAGGTTGGGGTTTAGCGCTCTAAGGCTCTTCAGTTTACTCACTAAATACTAGATTCCCCTTATTACGTTTTTGTAGCGCTTTGCATTGTGGTTATAGTGGTATCACTGATATTCAAGATGGCTTATTTTTTGTCCTGACTCGTGCAAGAACTTTTAAAAAAGCTAGGGTAGGTGCGCGATACAACAGTAAAATATCCGGGAAAACAATCAATATTTCCATTCGAGGCCGCTATCTTTTCAGTGATACCACTATAACCACAATGCAAAGCGCTACGAAAACGTAATAAGGGGAATCATCAATTGACCATTTGCGTAATAGACTAAATTTTGATATCAACAAAAATTTCATTACAGCTTGAAAGAGCATCACAAAATTAGTAATATTCCAAAGTTTCGTTGCAAAATGTTGTAAAATGCGGAAAATATAGCCTTGCGAAATTTGCAATTTTCAGTCATTTTAGATTACAAATGGAAAATTGACAGCCTCGAAGGGTTTGGGGCTGTCAATTTCCCGTTTGTAATCTAAAATGACTGAAAATTGCAAATTTCGCAAGGCTATATTTTCCGCATTTTACAACATTTTGCAACGAAACTTTGGAATATTACTAATTTTGTGATGCTCCTTCAAGCTGTGATGAATTTTTTGTCTAGACTTGTTTAGTTCAAAATTTAGTCTATTGCGCAAATGGTCAATTGCAGGGACGGATTTTCATTCATGAATGAATACATATGCGTCTTTTATCTAAAGTAAGAGCTTTGCTTTTGACTAAATACATGGGGGATTTATTTTCCTTCATTTTTGCCAGAATTTATCTGACTGCATGTTTACGACATTTTTACCCTTATTTTCGGCGAAAACAATATAAATAAATATTTTATGTTTTTTTTTTGTCAGTTTCGTAATTACGAAAACGAAGACCCGTTTTATAGAGCCATATAGGCTTCGGTCTTCGTGTGTGTAGTTGTATGTGTGGGTGTGTGTGGGGGGGGGG